AGGGGCTTGCAGGCAAAGATAGAGGAATAAGAGTAATGGTTCTTTACTAGGGAAACTGAAAATACAAATGTAATAGTGCAAACAGAGTCAGAATAGGAGCTGACACCCTGGGAACTGGTGTCTTGGTTTGAACAGACAGCTGTGTGCTAAGGAAGGCAGCACCTCCCTGAAATGGGAAATGCAAACCCTCTCCCTCCAAATTATTATAATTTTGAAATTAAGGGGCTTGCAGGCAGAGATATAGGAATAAGAATAATGGTTTTTTACTAGGGAAACTGAAAATACAAATGTAATAGTGCAAACAAGCTACTGACAGAGTCAGAATAGGAGCTGACACCCTGGGATCTGGTGTCCGGGTTTGAACAGACAGGTGTGTGCTAAGGAAGGCAGGAGCCTCCCTGAAATGGAAAATGTAACCCCCCACCCTCCAAATTATTATAATTTTGAAATTAAGGGGCTCTCAGGCAAAGATATAGGAATAGGAATAACAGTTCTTTACTAGGAAAATTAAAAATATAAATGTAACAGTTCAAACAAAATAACCTACTGACAGAGTCAGAATAGGAGCTGAGACCCTGGGACCTGGTGTTTGGGTTTGAACAGACAGGTGTGTGCTAAGGAAGGCAGGAGCCTCCCTTGAAATGGAGAATGAATTATTATGCCTCCTTGAATTATTATAATTTTGAAATTAGAAGGCTCTTAGGCAAAGAAATGGGAATAGGAATAACAGTTCTTTACTAGGAAAATTAAAAATACAAATGCAATAGCACAAAAAAGCAAACAAACCACTGCCAGAGTGAGAGCAGGCCCTGTCCCCTGTGTGTCAGGGGGTGGCACAGCCCCATCCCATGGGGGCTCAGCCCTCCTGCAGTGCCAGCTGTGGCTCTGCTGGAGCAGGGATCCTGCACAAGGGGGGAGTTTTCCTCTGCAGCTCCAGGGCTGCTGCAGATGGGCCTGGGCTCCCTCTGGCCATGCAGGGCAGCAGAAGCTGCTCCTCTGGCAATGCACTGGGCAAAGGCTGCTGGGCTGTGCCAGGCTCACATTGGATCCAGGTAGGAATGCTTGGCTCCTGCCCTGGGCAATGCAGCATCTCCCCATGGGATGCTGGAATTGGATCAGCCCTGCAGGGACACTCAGTGGCCATGGACAGCAGAGATCTCCTGCAGGGAGGGTTGGTGTGGGAGAGATAAAGAAAAAACTGCCCAAAGAACAGCAGAGAACTGCCCCAGCTCTGACAGATAGGGATAGAATATTCTATTTCCAACTTAAGAGAGAGAGGAATCCTGGGGAAGCTGGGAGAATTCCCTTCCTGCCTTTGCCAGGTCAAGGGAAGGGATTGTCCTACTCTGCTCTGGGGTGGCCTCACCATCAGTGTTATGTGTGGTCACTGTGATGTGAGGAAGATACTGAGCCATTAGAGAGTGTCCAGAGGAGGGGCACAGAGCTGGGGAAGGGGCTGAGGAAAAAAGGAATTCAGCAGCAAATCCCAAAGCCAAACAGGACCCAGATGTCCTGGAAATCAGCAGACATGCAGAGAACCAGACCAAGGTGCCCAAGCTGAGCTCTTGTAAGGCAGGAGCATCCCTTGGGATGTGCTCAGCAACTGTTCCAGGCATCACAGCAGATCTGGCTCATCTCAGACACTGCAGAAAGGGCCCTGGGGGTCCTGGTCAGGGGCAAGTTGGATCTGAGTCACTGCTGGGCCCTGGCAGCCCCAAGGGCCACCCTGTGCTGGGGGCACCAGGCCCAGGGAGGGATTGTCCCACTCTGCTCTGCCCTGGGGCAGCCTCACCTCCAGTGCTGGGGGCACTTTGGGCACCACGAGATCAGAAGGAGCCAAAGCTGTTGGAGAGTGGCCAAAGGAGGGACACGGAGCTGGGGAAGGGCTGAGGAGCAGCTGAGGGCACTTGGCTGGTTCAGCTGGAGCCCAGGAGACTGAGGGGAGGCTCCTGGGGGCTGCAGCTCCTGCCCAGGGCAGGCACAGGGGCAGGGGCTGAGCTCTGCTCTGGGACAGGGACAGGAGCCCAGCAAGGGCTGGAGCTGGGCCAGGCCTTGGCATGGAGCTCAGGGCAAGGTTCTGCCCCCCGAGGCTGCTGGGCACTGCCCAGGCTCCCCAGGGAATGGTGCCAAGGCTGCCAGAGCTCCAGGAGCTCCCAGGGCTGCTCAGGGTGGGGTTCTTGGGGTGGCTGGGCAGGGATGGGGCTGCACTGATCATCCCTGAGGGTCCCTTCCGGCTCAGGACATTCTGTAATTAATTCCTAATGAAGCCTCTGATGTCTGTGCTCACCCTCATGGAGAGGAAGGGGGGGTCAGGAAGACGTGGCTGGAAGTCTTTAAACCCCACTGAGGTTTGGTGGAGGACTCTGCTATGAAAACCAGACTGTGCTGAGCCCTGGGGAGCTGTGAATTCCCAGAGTCTGGCACAGACAGGAGCCTCCTGGGCTTCACTGCTCAGCCTCTGTGCAGATGTTCAGGGAGGGATTTTTGCTGCTTGTCCTTGACCGATAGGGAAGTAACTTAATTCTTTCCTGCCCCCACCTCTGTCTAATAACAACTCTGCAAGGCCTGGAATAACTGTGCTTATCTCTCAGGCTCTGGGGCTAAAAAGGGCCTTTGAGCTAATCTGGTGCTGCTAAGAATAGCTCTGTGTTCTCTTTTGGTGCAGGTGCCAAGCAGAGAAATTGATAAAGCAGAGGGAAAGTTTTGGACTCACTGGAACAGAGAAACCAAACAGGTAACTGAGGTTTTGTGATGTTTGTCCTTAAGGAGAGCAGAGCAACTTGAGAGAGTGGCATCAGTTCTGTCCTGTTGCCTCTGCTCCTCCAACCTCCATTCTCTAAATGCACCTGAGCAGTGGGAGCTGACAGAGATCCCCTTGTGGGGAATCTTGGAGAGGATTCAGTTTCTGGCAGCAGCAGGATGGGGCATAAATACCCAGAGAAAAGGAGGCTCAGGGGGAACCTTCTTGCTCTTAGAGCTCCCTGACAGGAGGGTGCAGCCAGAGGGGGGTCAGGCTCTGCTCCCAGGGAACAGAAGAGAGCAGAGGGAGCAGCCTCAAGCTGTGCCAGGGGAAGTTTAGGTTGGATATTGGGAAAATTCCTTCACTGAAAGCATTGTCAGGCATTGGAACAGACTGCCTAGGCCAGTGGTGGAGTCACCACCCCTGGAAGGGTTCAGAAACACGTGGATGTAGCATTTGTGGTCATGGTTTAGTGGTGAATGTGGTGCTGCTGCTGGCTGGACTTGTTGATCTTAGGGTTAGGGTTAGGTTTGGCTTTTCCCAGCCTAAAGATTCCATGAGAAATGTGCTGCACTGTGTCCTCTGCCTGGCTCTGTGCCCTGTGTCCCTGCACACACCTGCCTGAGGCATCCTGGGGCTGGGGCTGCCCCCTGTATCCAGGGAACAGTGCCTGGGGGGCTCCCACCCCTCACAGGAACCTCAGTGCTCAGAGTCCAGAGGAGTTAAAATCTGGGGCAAGACCGGTGCCAGTCACAGATGCTGCCAGGGCTGGGACAGGAGGGGCAGAGAGCAGCTCCTGGGTGCTGGCACAGCTGTCACCAGGCTGCTGGGCACTGCCCAGGCTCCCCAGGGAATGGTGCCAAGGCTGCCAGAGCTCCAGGAGCTCCCAGGGCTGCTCAGGGTGGGGTTCTTGGGGTGGCTGGGCAGGGCCAGGGGTTGGATCAATGATCCCTGAGGGTCCCTCCCAGCTCAGGGCACTCCAGAATTCTGGCAATCTCTGATTTAATCGTTCCCTTTTCTCTCCCATCCCCAGTTCTTCCTTCAATTCCACTTCAAGATGGAGAAGCCCCCAGCGCCCCCAAACCTCCCCCCGGGGCCCCCGACCGTCAAGCGGCCGCCGCCGCCTCCCCTGATGAACGGGCTGCCCCCCCGGCCCCCCCTGCCCGACTCCATGCCCCCCCCTCCCCCCGGGGGCATGGCTCTGCCCCCCATGCCCCCCTCGGGGCCGGTGCCCCCCCCCCCGGTGCCCCCCCAGCTGCCCCCAGCCCCCGGGGTGCCCCCCCCGGCTCCCCTGCCCCCCATGATGCGGCCGCCGCTGCCCACCGAGGGCCCGGGCACCATCCCCCCTCCTCCTCCCTCCAACTGAAGCCCTCCTGGACTCCATCCCTTGGGATTTGTGTCTTTTTAACTGCAGCTCACCCCCCATCCACCCAGGGAACAGATCCTTTTTGTACCTCTGCAAAGCTCAGTGAACTCTGTAGGTTCATTAAAAGGTTTTTGATTCTCCTTTCCCTCTGCTTTCCTGTGCTGCTTTTGGGGTTCACTGTCCTCACCCCCATTCCCAGGCTGGTTGTATTTTGGAAATTCTCCAAAGAGGAGGCAAAGGATTGGGAATCTCAAGGCATCTCCTTCCATCAGCTGTCTCGGCCTGAGGAATCCCCCTCAGGCTGTCCCATTAATTACCCCCCATTAATCAGTTTTGATTCAACCAAAGCCCTTCATCCCTGTTCATTCACTGAGGGGGGACATGGAAAGGCTCCTGTTTCTGATATTAAATCTTAGTTTATTGTTATAATTCATTAAGTGTCAGTACCATGCTGCAGCACCTGCTGCCACATGATTTTATTGTGTGCCCTCCTCCCACTGACAGCTCTGTTCAGGCAAGTTTTTAATTCTCTGTGGGTTTATTTATCCTGAGTGTTTCCTTCCAGCCATCACTTGGTTCCCATAAAAAAAGCAGCACCAGCAGCAGTTCTGCCATTTCTCTGCCCTTTCCCAGGTTCCTGACCCTGAACTGGGGGGTCAGTGAGTGAGGGCATGGCCAGGGCTGGGGTTCCTGACCAGTTCTGGTTGGTTGAGAGGCCATAGGAGCCCTGCAGCTGCACCCCCTTGCTGGGGGAACCAAAGCCTTCCTCTTTGCCAGGCTGAGATGGTCCCAGTCAGTTAAAAATCCCAGACTGGTTTGATGGGGAGGGACATTAAATCCCATCCAGTGCCACCCCTGCCATGGCAGGGACACCTCCCACCGTCCCAGGCTGCTCCCAGCCCTGTCCAGCCTGGCCTTGGGCACTGCCAGGGATGCAGGGGCAGCCCCAGCTGCTCTGGGCACCCTGGGCCAGGGCCTGCCCACCCTGCCAGGGAACAATTCCTGATTGCCAAGATCCCATCCAGCCCTGCCCTCTGGCACTGGGAGCCATTGCCTGGCTCCTGTCCCTGCAGGCCTTGTCCCCAGTCCCTCTGCAGCTCTCCTGGAGCCCCTTCAGGCCCTGCCAGGGGCTCTCAGGTGTCCCTGGAGCCTTCTCTTGTCCAGGTGAGCAGCCCCAGCTCTGCCAGGCTGGCTCCAGCCCTGGAGCAGCTCCCTGGCCTTTGCCAGCCCCTGTAGAAGTGACCTCAGACTCTTCCAGGCCTCGTTGTGTCCATGTCCTGCTCCAGTTTGGGTGCTCCATCCTTTTCTGATGATCCTGAGCTCCAGACTGCAAATACTTGGAAACCCAGGGAGGGGTCTGGAACTTTTTTGTTGGGACATTTCCCCAAAATCAGGAACTCTTTTGGGATGGGTTTCCAGGATGGTTTAGACCACCTGGCATTGGCAATTCCAGCTGTTCCAGTGGGTCTGGGCATCTCATGGAGGGAAAGGTCTTTACAGTTATATTAAGAAAGCTGAATGGTGTGTGTTGGCCTTTCAAAGGGAGGTACAGAGTGCTCCAAGTCCTCAGGCTGCTGCTGCCCCTCATGATTCTCATTCCCAGGATGAATCCCTATTTCAGAGCAGCCTGTTGAGCTGCAGGGTGAAGGTTTTCCAGCCAGAAGAAGGAATGCTTTCCATACATTTAGTTTTTATTTCAGCCCATTATCCACCCCCGTCCCCCTCCTCCTGCTCTGGCTCTCTCTCCCCTCCCGGTGTTTCAGTGCTGATGGGGTCGTACGTGCCAGTCCCCATGAGGATCCCATTCCAGACACTCATCCTCCTTTAGAAAACATCCCAAGTCAAGGCCGTGCATCCCTCCGAGCCAGTGCAACAGCTTCGATCTTTGCACGTTTCCAAAACGAGCTGCAGACCCAAAAATAGAACAAAACAAAGTTTCTTTGCCACCTCCCTCGCTGCTCTGCAGCGCCACAGCCCCGGGGCGGCTCAGGGGAGGTGGTTGTGCCTCGGCCACTCAAGGCCACCCGTGGTTAAAAGGCAGAGCTGTCCTCCCTCTTCCTGCCGAGGATTTGGGATCCTGAGCTGCTCCAGGGAAGAGCTGAGGTGGCACCATGAGCGCTCTCAGGGGGCTCCTGCTGTGCCTGGTGCTGCTGCTCCCCTCTGCAGCTCTGCCCAGGAAAGAGGGAAGGGATTCCCTGCTGGAAGCAGAAGGGAGAAAGGTGGGAAATGGAAGTTCACAGGAGACACCCAGGTCCAGGAGGGCCACTCGCCTCTTCTCCAAGCCTGAGCCAAAGGGAGCCAGATGCCCGCAGGGAGTGGCTGAGGAGGAGGAGGAGGAGGAGGGCCCGGGCTGGCCCCGCTCTCGCCCGCAGCCCTGGCCCCTCGGCGGCCTGGAGGGGCCCGTGTGCAGGGTGAGGATGGAGCAGGACGGGGCCAGCCCGAGGCAGCTGGAGGTGGTGGGAGTGCTCAGCCACTACGAGAGCAGCTTCATCAAACTGCTGAGGCGGCGCCGGAGCTGGGACGGGACCTTCCCCGGCACCTTCGGGCTGTGCCGGCCCGGGGAGGCCGGGGCTGCTCCCCATCCCCTGCAGAGGATCCATGAGCACGTCCTGGAGCCCGGCCTGGAGAGATTCCTGGTCCTGCACCTGGAGGAAGGTTGGTGGGAGAGCCCTGCAGGCTCTGAGGTGGAGCAGGGAGGGCAGGGATGCAGGCTCGGGGTGATGGTGGTGCTGTTTGCTGGCCCAGAGTCAGGGATTTAAACACAAAATTAAATCTGGGGGTTGGGTTCCCTTTAAAAACAGCAAAGTGATGGAGTGAAATGTTTCTGGGCATGTTTTGAAGGAGGTGAGGATGGCAGCGTGGCTCTGCCATCTGTTCAGCACCCAGTGCCACATTCCAGCAGCGTTTGGGACACGCTCTCAGGGATGCACAGGGTGGGATTGTTGGGGTGTCTGTGCAGGGCCAGGGGTGGGACTGGTGATTCTTGGCGATTCCTTTCCAGCTCAGGACATTCTGTGATTCTTGGTGGCTTCTGCTCTGCTCTCATGAGTGTTTCTCACGTTCTGTGTATGGGTCCCCTCCCAGGTCTGGGGAGAAAGGAGGGGCTCAGACGCAGCTGCTCCTGCTGTGCCGGGAGCCCAGCACCTGCTGATCTCCACTCTTGGGGCTGTGGAGCTCCTGCAGCTTCAGCCTTATGGGAAATTCTCAACACACATTGCCCTGTCCCATCCCGGGGGTGATCCCGGTCCTGGAGAGGGAGTTACAGCCTCCAATTTAATCCTTAACCCGAGGGCAGTGATTGTTTCCTTCATCCCGAAATTTTCCGCCACTCCTGGGCTTTGGATTTTCAGCTGCGCTCAGCAGTGCCGGGCAGTGGGGAGGTGCCTCTCCCCCGGGCAGCGGCCACAGCGTTCCCGAGGCACTGGAAAGCGATTTCCATGGGCTCTGGGGGAGGCAGCTCCCTGCCCTCCGGGTGCGGGGTGTGCCCGCTCTCCATCTCCCTGGAGCCAGGGACGGGATTTGCTGCATCCCTTCACCCCCTCGGCTCCTGTCCCGGTGCTCCGATCCCTTCACGGGGACGGTGCTGGGCCCGAAGCCCCTTCCCCAGCCTCCGGAGGGGATTCACGGCCGTGTCTCCCCCGTTGCAGTGCAGTGGGAGGCGCAGGTGAAGCTGCGGTTCCAGCTGGTTTTCCAGGCGGAGGTGGGACGGGCAGTGGGAGAGCTGCAGGCGGCCGTGATGCTTTTCTACCTGGGCCGCCGGGAGGGCTCCGGGCACCCGCAGGAGCTGCTGGCCACGGGCCCGGGGCTGCCGCGGGACCAGGTGGGTCCGGGCCTTGCTGGGAGCAGGGGAGGGACGGGGTGTCCCAGTGCCGCTGTCATCCCTCCCAGTCCACTCCACAGCCCCTCCAGCTCCCTTTGCTATCCCCTCCCCATTCATTCATCCTTCCTCCCAGTCCATTCACCATCCCCTCCCAGTCCATTCACCATCCCCTCCCAATCCATTCACCATCCCCTCCCAGCCCCTTTGTCACCCCTCCAGCCCTTGGCCAACCCTTCCCAGTCCTTTTGCGGTCCCCTCCCAGCAGCTCCGCCCCATCTCCCGCTCCCGCCGTGCCTGAAGATGGAGCTCTCGCCCTGCCCGCGGCTGCCGCAGGGCCAGCGGGGCAGTCCCGGGCCCCAGCGCGGTCTGGGGTCCTGAACGCTGCCCCTGGGGTGTTCTCGGGGTTCCCTGCACCCCGCGGCCCCCGGAGCAGCTCTGGGGCTGGGGGCGCTCCCCACCCTCCCTGTGGCTGCTCCCTGGGCTGGGTGACCCGGAGCGCGCAGGGACCGCAGCGGGGGCTCAGGTGCGTGTGTCCCCCGTGATGTCGCACTCACGCCCTCGGGGTTTCTGTGGTTTCTGCCTCGGTGCAGAGGCTCTGCCTCTCCAGGGACACGCAGTACCTGGCCCTGGCAGCCGCCGCAGCCTCGGTCACCCGCAGCGCGGAGCGGCTCCGCTTCTCGGCTTCCCTGGCCATCCACGGCGGCGCGGGAGGTAGGGACGGGGGGACACCCTGGGGACAGCAGCATCCCCGCCCTCGTGTCCTCGCTTGGGCCTTTGGAGTCCTCTCAGGCCGGAGAGAGGTGGTGGGGACATGCAGGAGACCCCAGACCGACGTCCTCCCCTCTCGTGGCCGCTGCAGGTGCCCCCCTGCCCCGCACGGAGGTGCAGCAGCTCCTGTTCGGCTCCGATGACAAATGTTTCACCCGGATGACCCCGGTGCTGCTGCTGCTGGCCAAGTCACGGCAGCAGGAGGAGGAAGAGGAGGCTTTAGCCGCATCCTCCTACCTCTCTGCTGAGGGCGTGGTGGACACGGCTCCGTACCCACAGCTCAGGTCCGTGGCTGTCGCTGCGGGCACGGGAGAACGCAGGGGCTGGGAGATTGAAGTGGGACAGGGGCAGCCCCAGCTGTGGGACCAGGGCACAGCCTGGTGGGACCCCCGGGCTACACAGGGCCCCCGTGACTCTCCCTGTGCTCTCCTTGCAGCCCACCCCAGGCCGGTACCGAGGAGCTGCCGACTCCCACTGCCCCGGGCCAAGCCAACACCTCCAACCCAGCGCCCGAGGGCAGCGCCCAGTTCCTGGCAACCCTGACCCGCTTCATCCGGCAGCTCCTGAGCTCCTCCAGCGAGCCGCCCCTCCAGCCCAGCGCCCACCACTGGCTGGACTTCGAGATGATGGAGACCCTCCCTCACCAGCTGCTCAACCTGTCGGAGGAGGCGGCGCTGGAGCGGCTGGTGCAGTCGGAGGAGCCCTCGGTGCTGCTGCTGCCCCAGGACAGCGGGGCCGTGCTGGAGCAGCACCTGGGGGACTGGCAGCCGGAGGGCACCGTGCTGCAGCTGCTGATGGGCAAACTGCAGCTGGTCATCCAGGAGCTCAGGGACATCCCGGCTTTCCAAGCCAACGCGGCGCTTTTCCAGCACCTCCTGTCCTTCTGCTACTACCCCGCCGAGCCCGGGCAGGCCGAGGCGGCCGAGCGGGGCCCGGGCTCTCGGAAGCTGCGCACGCTGCTGCTGCTGAAGGCGCTGCAGTCGGTGCGGGCGCGCTGGCAGGAGCGCAGGAAGGTGCAGCGGCAGAACCGCAGCGCCCGGCAGCAGGGGCACTGCCGGCTGCAGGAGCTCACCATCGACCTGCGCGACCGCCACTTCGTCATCATGCCCACCATGTACGCGGCCAACAACTGCGAGGGGCCCTGCCGGCTGCCGCTGTCCACACGCATCCCCAGCTACTTCTCGCACACGGTGCTGCTGCTGGGCATGCAGGACCAGGGCTCGCCGCTGCGCAGGGCTCCGTGCTGCGTGCCCGTGCGCTACTCGGACCAGCTCATCATCAGCCTCTCCTCGGACGGGCTGGAGATCCGCAAGTTCCCCAACATGGTGGCAGAGGAGTGCGGCTGCCGGTGAGGCTCCCGCCGGCCTCCCCGCCCGTCCCGCCCCGGCCCCTCTCCCGGTTCGCCCTCCCGGCTCGGGGTCTGGTGCTTCTCCCGAGACGGGAGCTCCCGTGTGTCCTTTCCCCGTGGTTTGGCTCGCTCTGGTTCTGGGTTCATCCATGCCTGTCCCTGGGGCTGCTCCGTGTCCCACTGGGGCTGTCCCCTCCCGCTGCTGAGGGTGCCCGAGGTGCCTCTGCTGGGTACGTGGGGGAGGACAAGGCTTGGCGGATCCAGGCAGGACCATTCGTATTTATCCCTCACTCTCTGCTCCTGTAGTGGTTTGGAAGGGCAGCTGCTGCTTCCTCCAAGCCTTGCAGCATCCTCTGACCATTCCCCAGCTCGCGGGACCCCCCTGGCCACAGGGCTCCACCTATGACAGCAGAGCAAGAGGCCAAATCCCCTGGCAGAGACCAGCCCTGCCCTGGGGACACGGCTCTGTGTGAGCCTGGCCGTGCCCGGGGGCTCTCGGCCAGGTCACGTCTGCTCACCCCGCTCTGACCCCGCCGCCGGGGCGAGGGGAGGAGGGAGGGAGCGATCCCGTTACAGCTCCCGGGCTGCTCACACCATTAATGGGAGCGGGAGCAAACGGCTGCCAGAGCACCTGCTCCGTGTCCCCGCCGGCGTCAGCACGGGCTGCCTGCCCCAGATCATCTTCCAGCTGAGCCGAAGCCTTGGGAGCAGCTCCTGGGCTTGTCCTGGCTGCACCTCCTCGGGTTTTGCAGTGGGGAGGCACGGCTGGAGGTTGGTACCCACCAGTCTCACCTCACAGCCCTGCAGGATGAACCCTGAAAACACACACACACAGAACCAGGGACAAAACACATAACCAGGGACAAGGGCTTTTCTCATTTTCCTTTGGTTTTTTTTTACCCTATTTTTTAAAAACATCCAGTTGAATACCTTATTAAAAATGAAAATAGTTTATTTTAATCACTGTTGATTTAGCAAATACTGAAACCTGCCATGGGTGGGGGCTGTGAACATCTCTGGCTGTGTGATATTGCTCTTGTGTTTCCTTCTTAAAAGCGACTCGGAGAAGGCAAGGCCTGCAGGGATCCCTGGGTGAGGGCTCCAGCCCTGCTCTGTCACCAGCACCTTCTGGGCCACCCCCAGTGATGGCACTGGGCTGGCTGAGGTCGAGGGTCTGTCCCTGATGTCCCTCTGAGGACGGCTGCAGCCTGGTTCCGTAATCCAGAATATTCTTCTCTCTTGATTTGCTTTCAATAAAACCATTAGCCCAAGAGCTGCACAGTCTGGACACAACTCTGTTCACTGGGATCCCTGGAACCACGAGTGGAGGGGAACTGCAGAGGGGTTTTGGGTGGGGATGGAGAAGGCAGGAGGCCCAAAGAAGCTCCTTCCATGAGTCCTTTCAGGTCACCTTTGATGCAGGGGGACCCGAAGTCCCCGGGGAGGCTCATGCCAGGCTCCTGGGCTGCTCTGCTGCTGCTCGGGGGTCCTGGTGCTGCCCGTGCCCGGCGGTGGCTCTGGAGGGCAGGCAGGGGTGGGGTTGGATCTCCCTGGATCCAGCCCCGCGCCCACCCCGGCCTCAGTCGCGTCTCTTGCCCTCCCTGGCCCTGCCGTCCCTGCCCGGCTCCCAGGGCTTCCTGCCCTTCTGCTGCTTCCAGTCCCGCCTCGGGCTCTCCCGGCCGCCGTCAGCCCTGCCGGGACGGCCCCTCCTGGACTCATCCCGCTCCCGCCGTTTCTCCTTCCTCTCCTTCCTCTCCTTCCTCTCCCGGTCCCGTTTCTTCTGGGGCTGCTGCTCCGGTTCCCGGGGGGCCCGGGGGGCTCGGCCAGCTCTGTCCCCCGCTGTCCTGTCCTTGGCTCGTGCCTCCCTCCGGCCGCTCCGCTCCGCATGGACAGCGCGGCCTTCCCGGGCTTTCTCCTTCTTCTCCTCCTTCTTCTTCTCCTCCTTCTCCTCCTCCTCCTCCTCATCCTCCTCCTCCTCATTCTCCTCTTTTTCTTCCTCCTTCTCCTCCTTTTCTTCCTCCTCCTCCTCCTCCTCCACCTTTTTCTGCTGCTTCTCCTGGCTCTTCTTCCCCTCCGTCACAGCCGTTGGCACCTCGGGGACATCTGCAAGTTCTTCATCTTTGCCCTCATCCTCATCCTTGTCCTCATCCTTGTCTTCATCCTTGTCTTCATCCTTGTCCCCATCCTTGTCCTCATCCTCTGGTGTTGCACGGCCAAACCACTTCTTGAAGATCCAGGGTTCTCCCTGTGGGGACAGAGGGGACCAGGAACTGCTGATGCAGCCCAGGGGACTGGGACCCCCCTCCATCCCTCCCCCTGGGGACAAGCTGCTCCCTGCCCCGGCAGGTGCCACCCTGGCCCGTACCAGGTTGCTGTCAGCTTCGCTGTCATCGTCATCGTCACCGTCTTCATCATCATCATCATCCTCCTCCACCGCGCTGCTCTCCGGAGGCGGCGCAGGCTGGGCAGTCACCGCCTCTGGGATCTCCACCTTGGGGCTCACAACCTCTGGGAGGGGACAGGGACAGGCACAGTCAGCTGGGGCTGCTGGGGTGGGACATCCCAGCCAGGGGCTCGCAGGGCCCTGTCCCAGGCCGGACCCGGGGGATCGAGGAGGGTCGGACCCACCGGGAACGGGAGGGGGCGGAGGCTCCTGGCGGCCGCGGGCGAGTCCCTCCTTGGAGCATGGCGCTGCAAGACAGCAGGGGACAGCAGGGGACAGGAGGTGACAGCACGGCCTGGCCACCCCTTCCCGCTCCTCCCGGCTCCCCACTCACCTTGGAGCACCTGGAAGGTGACGCTGAGCAGGGCCACCACCGAGGCCACCAGGATGCACTTGTTGAGGGTGAGCCCTTCCCAGAGCAGCGGCTCCTCCGCGGGGTCCAGGCTGGGCGGCTCCGCCTTGCTCTGCACGGGGAGGCTCCTGGGGACTGGGACATGGAAAAATGGGGGAACTGGGAGGAGGAAAAGGGCTCGGAGCGGGGGGGGGGGGTGGGAAGAGCTCTTAACGTCCTCCTGCACAGCCGGGTCAGGGCAGGGCAGGGACAGGGCAGGGACAGGGACAGGGAGAGGGACAGGGAAAGGGACAGAGACAGGGACAGGGGCAGGGAGCAAGGGCAGGGACAGGGACAGGGACAGGGACAGGGCAGGGGCAGGGAACAAGGGCAGGGAGAGGGACAGGGACAGGGACAGGGCAGGGACAGGGACAGGGACAGGGGCAGGGAACAAGGGCAGGGACAGGGACAGGGACAGGGCAGGGACAGGGCAGGGACAGGGACAGGGACAGGGCAGGGACAGGGAGAGGGACAGGGACAGGGACAGGGATGGGGAAAGGGACAGAGACAGGGACAGGGGCAGGGAACAAGGGCAGGGTTGGCGACAGGGGCAGGGAGAGGGGCAGGGACAGGGACAGGGACAGGGACAGGGGCAGGAACAGGGACAGGGACAGGGATAAGAACAGGAGCAGGGGACAGGAGCAGGGGACAGGGGCAGGGACAGGGGCAGGGAGAGGGGCAGGGAGAGGGACAGGGACAGGGACAAGGGCAGGGACAGGGGCAGGGACAGGGACAGGGACAAGGGCAGGGACAGGGGCAGGGACAGGGGCAGGAGCTGCTCCTGCCACGTGTTTGCAGTGCAGGAGTGGGGACAAGAGTGTCCTGGGGGCTGAAACCGAGGGGTTTGGTGACATTAGACTATCCTGGTGATCAAGCTGGGAAAAGCTCTGCCCGTGCTCCTCCTCCAGCAGCAAATCTGGGCAGGATGGAGAGGAGGAGGTGGAGGAGGATGTGGCAGGTGCTGAGGAGCCCCATCTCCATCCCTGTGGCACTGATTTCCCCTTTCCATGGCCAGACAGCACCTCCCGGGCTGGCTGGGGACAGGGGACTGTGCCTCTGTGGCCACCTGGGCCAGGGTGGCCGCTCTGGGGCAGGGAAGGCCTTTCCCACTGTTGAAGATTGCAATGCAAGATGTTTTCAATTGCCATCTGTATGGCAGATTACCTTTGTCTAGTGGGCAGTTTGCCTTATCTCTGAGTGACCACAATCACTCCTCCCTCGGGAGGGGACATCTGCTGATAACAGCCATGGAATGTCCCTGCATGGCTGATAAGAACTACAGCATCCCATTGGCAGATGTGAGCCCAGAGGGAGGAGCCAAGCATTCCTACCCGGATAGAATCCAGAGGTTTTGAGACACCAGCACGGCTTTCTCCACTGGATTCCCCAGAGGAACAGCAGCTGCCTCTCCTTCCATTGGATCTTCAGAGGCAGAATCCATCCTTCTCTACAGGATCCCTGCTCCAGCAGAGCCAGCCCTGACACTGCAGGAGGGCTGAGCCACAATTCCAATGGCACTGCTGCCAACAGCCTGACCCACAGGGTGTCAGGTTGGGTTCTGACTCTGGCAGTGTTGTTTTAGTTCACTGCATTGTTTATTTTATCCTTATATTTTTTCCCTTTCCCTATTAAAGAACTGTTATTTCCTGCTCCCATATTTTTGCCTGAGAGCCCCTTAATTTAAAATTCATAGCAATTCAGAGGGGTGGGGAGGGTTCACATTCTCCATTTCAGGGGAGGCTCCTGCCTTCCTTAGCAGACTCCTGTCTTTCCAAACCCAGACACCCACACACCCACCTGGTGGCCCGGCAGCGCTGCCCTTGGCTCCCACCTTCTCCGCTCGCTTCTTCTCCGCCGCTTTCCTGTCCCCGCCGAGCGGGGCTGGCTCTGGCATGTCCGGCTCTGCCTCTCCTCGGGATGGCCTCGGTCCTGCTCAGAGAGGCTCTGCTCCTCTATTCCCTGCAGGGAGGGCACGGAGCGTGGCTGGGGGGACAGGGATAAGGACAGGGACAGGGACAGGGACAGGGATAAGAACAGGAGCAAGGGACAGGGGCAGGGATGGGACAGGGACAGGGACAGGGGTAGGAACAGGGAAAGGGATGGGACAGAGACAGGGAAAGGGACAGGGACAGGGAACAGAGGCAGGGACAGGGGGACAGGGGACAGGGATGGGACAGGGGCAGGGGGACAGGGACAAGGGCAGGGACAGGGGGACAGGGAACAGGGACAG